TCTGGCGCAAGAGATCAAGCGTCCCCCCCCCCTCCGGAGCACACCCCAGGGATCTCCCCAGACGGGGTCGTCGGCGCGCTCACCTTGGCGAGGCTGGCGGTGAAGAGAACGCACTCGAACATGTCGCCCATCTTCTGCAGGAAGTCGTCGACGTGCGGCCGCTTCAGCACGTACACCTGGTGAACGGCGCCGTCGATCTCCACCGGCACGATGAAGTCGGCGTTCGGGATCGGCTGCAGCGGAGGTGCCGTGTGAAAGCGCGAGCGGTGCACCCAGCTGATCTTGCGATCGCAGCGCCCGGCTTCAAGTCACGCGACACGACATTTCCCCCGGCTCCGATCTTCACCAGCGCGCAGCGGCAGAAACGCGGACGGCCTCCGACATTCCCCACACGCGTGAACAAAAAATCTAACCAAAAAAATCGCTGTGCGGCGCGGCGGGCGAGCCGGCCGCTCGCGACAGCCGGCGGACAGAGGTCAGCTGCGGCGCCATTTGTGTCCGGCCGCCGCCGCCCGGTCCACTTCACAGAAGCCGGCGTAACAGACGGCTCGGTGCGGCGAGCTGACAGCCGCTGCCGCACCGGCCCTGTCCTCCGCCATGTTTGTCGGCGCTAGACACACATTATCGCCACCGCATCGGACATTTCGCCGAACGTGCTCGGGGCCCCTGCATATCGTCAGCCCGCGACGCTCCCGGGACGCCGACGTCAGACGCCTGCAGCGCCGCCGCCGATGCCACTCGGTATCTGTATAATTCGCGGGGTCGGACGGCGCTTGCACCGGCTCGCGAAGCAAGAACGCCGCCGCCCCGAGCGGCCAGCGCGCCTCCGGGCCCGACCCACCCGTCATTCACGTGACAGACCCAGCTCCAATTACGCTAATTAATAACGTTGCGGGCGCAAAGCCGTCGGCGTGTTGGCGTGGTGCGGCTTCATCACGCCAGGCAGCATTCCTGCGGGCTCGTCTGGCGGGGCCCGACCGTGACGGCGGCCGGCGCGTGGCTGCCGGCCCCGACCCCGTCCCTCGTCCCCGGCGCCGGCCGCCCGGGACCCGGCCGGGCTGGGACGGCCGGCGGCGCGTGGCTGCCGGCCCAGACCCCGACCCCGTCCCCGTCCCTCGTCCCCGGCGCCGGCCGCCCGGGACCCGGCCGGGCGGGGACGGCCGGCGGGCGTGGCTGCCGGCCCAGACCCCGACCCCGACCCCGTCCCTGGTCCCCGGCGCCGGCCGCCCGGGACCCGGCCGGGCTGGGACGGCCGGCGGCGGGCCCGGACCGGCGCCGCCGCCGCGCCAACGGCGGGCCACCCACGGCCCTGTCGGCCGTAACCAGCGCCAGACGGCCGGCGTCGGCGTGTCGAGTTCACGGAAACGGCGGCCGGGACCGTCCCCCATGCCTCGACCCCCCCCCCCCCCCCCCCCCCCCCCCCCCCCAATCGGCTCACCTTGAATGAGCTGTGCACGAGCGTCTCGTCCAGGTCGATCACCAGGCAGACCCTGCCCATGTCCTGGTGTCGGACGGGCGGCAGCAGGAGGCCTGGCGGCGGCGGGCCGGCCGACGGCGCCGGCGCCACCCTCTCGCCGGGACCGGGCGGCGGCGGCGTGGGCGGCCGGGAGCCATGCTCGCGGCCCAGACAGCAGAGCAGCGAGCGCAGCAGGCCGCGCGGCTTCCTCACCCGGGCGGCTGGCAGCTGGCCTGCGGGTGGCACGGCACGGCGTCACGGCCGGCAGGCGCCCGCACGGCGACGCACGGCGGCACAGCACGCGTGCGGTCGTCACAGGCGAAACGGCCTACACGCACCGCGTGTCAGCACAGGTCGCTATCACAGCGGCGTAGCGCGAGCACACCGCCTCAGTCGCACAGCTCAGATGCACCGGTCAGCCTACAGAGAGAGAAGACACGTAGTGTCGCGGAGAAGCGTACAGTTTGTAACGTTTTCCCTCTCCCTCCATACGACGGTGGCCGCGATAGGACTGCCGTATCCAGGGCCGCAGTATTCTGTGTTATCTATTCCTGGGGTCGTCCGCCGGCTTCCGAGCACGCGCCGTCGGTGCCTTTCTGCCGCCGACGGCGCCTGACCGCAGAAACGCGCCTCAGGCGGGGCCCGGGGCCAGCCGGCGGGCCGGCGGTGCTGGCCCGGGGCCGGGCCGGGCCCGCCGTGCGCCCACGCCAGCGAGCGGCGCGGCCCGCCGGCCGCGGCACACGTGCGTGTCGAGGAGCCGTGTCCTCGGCGCGCGCGGACCCTCGACCACGACCTTGACGCCGGAGATGGGGCTCGGGACCGGCCGCGGACGCGTCGTCGGCGGCGGTGTGGGCGGCTTTAGTTCAGCTCAGAGGCTGCCCGTCGGGCGCTCATTCGACATTCCTGACAGATGCACGAGCTCTTTCTAACTAGCTGCAATTTTGCCGCCCGAGCCCGCGGCACTGGCATGGAAAGAACCAGCACAACAGCCTTGGGCAGTTCATCCCTTCAAAATATGACAGCCCAGCTCGGAACGTCGGCCAAGATTAGTGCGACCGAACGGACTCCATGGCACTGACAACATGATGGCTCATAGCCAAGAACGAAATCAAGCAGCACATGCTCACTTGTGTTATGGTACGCCTGACAGCAACCAGCCGCCACGCGGCCAATATCGATGCACTAGGAATGAGTGGCAAAACCACCATTCGCGCAGCACTAACAATATGTTAGTCCGCGAGTGGCGGCCGACTGGCCGGCCTAGCCCGGGACCCGCCCACTCCAGGCGACCACACACTGGCTCGGCACAGGACGACGCCAGTGCGGCCGCACCGACATCCGCGCGGTGTCCGCCCCCGCTCGGCGGCCGCGCCGCCCGGTCCAGCTCCGGTACGTGCGCGGCGCTTGCAGACGGTCGCGTGCCGGCACGCCCGCCCCGCGCGCTGACCGCCCACGCCAGCCGGATCAGCGGGCCGACCGGGACCTGCCGGCCGGACCTGACCGGACCTGAACCGACCGGACCTGCCTGGCAACCCGCGGCGCACGCGCGGCCGGCCGCCCCGCGGCGCCGGGCCGGCCCCCCGGCGACACGACGGGCACGCTCACTCGGTACCGACTCCGGACAGGAACGTTTGCAGCGCGCGTGACGAACGGCTCCAGTTAAATCGATTTGTGGTTGTGGGCAAACATGGCGCTCATTGATCTGCGTCAGATGAAGAGGTGTTTCCCACTGCGGTGCTTTTTTCAGGCTACGATGGACACGCGGTTTGCTTACCACCCACACATTGCTTAACAAACTGAGCATCTCGACATAAATTCGCTTCACGGAGATGTGACTCTTGATGCAAGTTCAAGATAGCTGCACCATCGGCCAAATGTGCGTGAGGAGCTTTAACATTGCATCCTGACCTGTTCCTTTTCATGCAACGTACTTTCAACTCTACAGAGATCAGAACTTGGCCTGTTTTGGCACAGCCGTAGTGCAACGCATTTCATGGTGCAGGAGCTGCCGACAAGATAAACTTGAACAACACTAGATATACAAAATAGCTCAAACAACCTTAACGATTTGTTATGGGTCGGTACTCAAGGAGTTCGCTCAAATACAAGAATCAGGAGACCTTATAAAGGCACACATTTTCAGCCGTCAGGCCTGGAGTTATCTCATGCACGCTTTCCCTTCCAAAGCCAATAATTAAACACAGTTTCGACCTTAACATAGACTGAATACGAAACAGACACCACTTATTGGTGCTTCGTTATGGGAACATTTTATTCAACGTCATTTCAGCCAAACTAGTCTTTGTTGGGGTTAAAAACTGCTTCACGGATTGATAATAGTCTTCTTCTTTTTTTAAAGATTTAACCCGAACCCTTTGAATGGATGGATTTCTGGGACCAGAGTTTACGTCAAAGAACGCTTGTTGTACGAGTCCTGACCTCCAACAACCAAACGCGCGACTCCAGGTCAACAGCAGAACTGGCGGCGAAAGTTTAACGTGTCGCGATTCTCGGCACAGTCCATCCTGCCCTCTGACGCCACCTGACCTTTAGCGCCGTCGCTGCTTCCGGCCATACATGTCAAGGGCAAATAACGAGCGCCTAAAGCGACTCGAACCCACCACGCCACTGGTGGATGGATTGCTCTACTAAAAGAGATAACACAATCTTGGAGCATGAAAGATGCACTCCCCATGTCTATATATACGTCACCATGAGGGCAAAATGAAAGAATAACCATCCATCACACAGAGACAGTGCTGGAAAAATTCCAGTTTCCTGGTATAATGTACACCAGGAAATTTTGTACTCCACGATTGTGACTAGGTAAAATGAAATATTGGTGATGAACTCCACTATGATGAAACAAAAACAGGTTTTGGAAAAACCCATTTTGCCTCTCTGTTTCAGGCAAAATGAAATCAGAAGATACAACAGCTTGGGAACTGCTGCCTCCATCATGAGCCATATATTGATATCTACAAGACCACAAATCCTGCATCCACCAGACTTGGAACAGCCTGTGCTGTGACCTCTGTGACAGAGAAGTTCCTGATCATTATATACAACTAGGAATGTTATATTATGAGACATTCAACTTCCATGGGACAAATCATACCATTATATTACCCCATTCCATTAATTCAATAGCCTTCAAACTCTATTGTCCATTATGTTGCCTTTTTAGTTTTTGGGACTGGACATAAATTCTGCTGCACATGGATGGGGAGGTGGGACGGAGTGTAACAGAGGTATGACAATTGACGGACAGAATGATTTTGGACAGTGTAAAAACATGCTCATTCTGGTGGTTGTGATGCATGTTAACATATTTTAAAAATAAAACCACAAACCTGGATACAGTTGGCTGCCTCTTTGACAAGGGACACATCTTTTGGTGTTAACATTCCAGCTAACTTAATATCCAAACAAACCTTACTTCTTATCCATTGTGCAGCATAACCAGGGAAAAGGGGAAGGTCACTCAGGGCTACCCATGAAACCAAAGCATAACCCAGGAATGGAGCACTGAAAGTGCTGAAAAGCTATAGCATGGTTTGGGGATGATCCCTTATGCAAACTTCTACTGATACAGTGTTTTGCCAGCGGGGGATAGGTAGCGCTTGGTCAGCCAATTGATGATATGAAAAGGCAAAAGAGCCAGAAGTAGTCGACATTCCTGCTTTACGCCAGAAGAAAAACGGCTAGAAATTCAAGAGATTTGGCCAACTTTGAACATTGCCTTGAACACTTCATACATATACCTAAATTGATGTTTCAGCTTTCTTGGATATACCTAAATGAGCACTGCTAGCCCACCCAGTACATAATTCCCATTACCACAATTTGAGCATGGTTGGTCACTGTAAATCTCAGCAGTAATGTTGCCAGGGTATTTTGGCTGCCTCAATCATGACAAATAAAGCAACCATGCCACCTAAATCTGTGACCTCATACTGACCAGTCATTTTATGCTGACTGACACATACTGGTATCCAATCCACCAGCAATATCAGCAAATGACAGCAATTATGCATGCTAGGATGTGATTTTAGTGTCAGTGTAGGTATACACTGATACCTGTTAGAAACATCATTGTACATCATTTGTTGTGTTTAATATACCCTGACCATAGTGTCTGCAGCTGTCTCCATGTCAATGTTAACAGCCACACTGTGTCAGTGCAGTCTCATTCATATCAGTCATCTTCCTCCCATTGATGGATAGGTACTTCCTGGCACCTACACCACTAGAAAAATGGAGAAATGATGGAGATTAAGCCAGATATTACATGCTAAGAGATAAATGCAGCACATCATGCGAGCCTGACGCCCATGATTTTCTGGGAAAACGGTAAAACATAGCACAATGTGCGTCCTACACCGTTTATTTACATTTGAGCATTGTTGACGTGGGCGTGAACGTCCCGTCCAACAATGCGCCACGAACGCCGCACCGCGTATAAACAGCATTTAGTATAACACACTCACCATTCTCCGGATGTCCTTTGACATTGCCGTCTTCTTTTTTTACTTGTGTGATAACAGTTTCTGGGTCCATCAATCCCTGCGCCTAACACCGGTCCATTTCGACTAAAACTACTCCCCGCGATGCAAGATGGCGCGCAGCTTGGCAGGCCGCCGACCAGTCTCCTCCACAAATTATTCACGCAGCACTATCCACAAGGCCATCGATTATGCCTTAAGTCCCTTCAGAGCGTTCACAAATGCCAAGCCTCTCAGACAACGGCCCGCGAACACCTGAGAGCGCAAGCGACCTCCACACCTGTCACCGCGCCCCACTGCACTGATTTCGCACGGGCGACTGCAGAAACGTGATCTCGACGGGAGGTCGGCTAGCGCGTGCGGTGGGCGGCCCGCCGCGTCTGATCGGTCGGCCCGGTGCACGCCTCCGGTAAACCAACATCTCCATCGATACGACAGCATAGGATGACTGATGTATTCAAATTCTGGCATATGACGGCTTGAACCCAACGCGAGTGTGACGTGATGTTCGAATCGTGACTCATGACTGGTATGGGCCAGCGGCGAGCAGCAGATTCCGTCGCGTGAAATGCAGGACCAACACCGGTGTGTGCTTAGTGGCGAACGAAGTCAGCAGGAGATCAGAACTAGTTTTAACTTCGCCTGCCTGGGCGACGTTCAGATCCTCGGACAGCACGTCCTCGGTGGTTTTCTGGAAGTCCCATAGCTTGATGCAGTCGTCCATGCCACCTGAAAGTTCAAACCAAAGCGCGTGATCGTCAAAGTAATTGCTAGCATGAGAATGGCAGGGAGAGACTGCACACTCGTACGCCAAAAATGTGTTAAGAAACATCTTGTTATCAGCACAACACAGTGTTTTATAGCATGTCTAATCCTAAATGCCATCCCAGAAATGGTAGGATCAGCCTAATTCCAGCCGACCGCCGGTGCATCGCTGCAGCCATTCGAGCTTACGGCGCGGCCGGGCTGCCTCAGCGTTCCGTGGGCACGCTCCTTGACGCCGCTCTGTGAGCCTGCACACACTGTACGGGGGAGGAGGGAGGGGCGAGAGGAGACAGGGGACGGCGGGCACGGGCTGACGGGTGACGGGCCGTCAGCAGCGCCGTCTGGCGGCCTCTGGCCGTGTCGGCCGCACCTGAAGCCAGCACGGCGCCGTCCCGGCTGAACTGCAGGCTGTAGACGGTGTCGGTTGTGCTGGGCCAGCGCGCTCAGCAGCTGGCCGCTGGCCAGGTCCCAGCACAGCACCGCGCTGTCCGCCCCGCTCGACACCAGGAACCGGCCGTCCGGCGAGAACGCCAGCGCGTACACCGTGTCCTGTCGGCCAGAGCGTCCCGCTACACACTGTGTCCTGTTATCGTGTGCTGTCTAGCAGCACATTGTGTTCTACCTGGTGTGCTGTCCGAGTCCGCTGTATCTCGCTACAGAGCGCCGCCCAAGCACTCTTTTTGCCCAGTACACTGTCTTAGTCCGCTGTATCCCACTACAGTGACCAGCCCGAGCACTGTCCAGGTCCACTGTTTCGGTCCGCTGTATCCCACTACAGTGCCCCGCCCAAGCACTGTTTGCTGCCAGGTCCCATGTCTCAGTCCACTGTATCCGGCTAAGGTACTCTAGATTGTGATCTAATGCAGAACGACGCCTGAGCGGGCGGTGCCAACACAGGGGAGAGGAGGATTTTTATTACTTTCAAGGGTGTGAATCAAAATTTTAGGCGCATTGCAATTCCACACCCACACATCCAGAAACACGGAACAAGGCGGGGGTGGGGAAGGGGGAGGGAGCGAACGCATCCTCACACGCACCGAAAGTTTCTTTTGTGATACCCACACGCGAGACAACCGGTCCTATTTCAGATGGGGTTCTGACCACCAACTTTGCTGACATTTCCCCGGAAAGTCAATAGACCATAACCATATACTCACGGCAGAATCTTCTCACGTGGAGCGATCCAGTCATTTCAAAAAACATTGTCATATCATGACAGTGAACTCAGCAGCTCATACTTACCCCGCCCGAGCCCAGAGCAAAGACAAACCGACGGTAAAGCACCGCAGAGGCCACACTGGGCCCGATTCAGAGCACGGCGGCGGCGGCGGCGGCGGCGGCGGCGGCGTCCCGGCCCGTGACCTGACCCCTGACCCCACTGACCTTGTGACCGGTGAGCACGCGCACGCACGAGCCGTTGCTGACGTCCCACACACGGACGGAGCGGTCGCTGCTGCCGGACGCCACGTAGTTGGAGTTGGGATGGAACTCCACACACTGCCGAACGGGACGCGGGCGTCAGGCCTCACGAGCGGCAAAACAGCGTCGTACGCGGCGTGACTGCCGCCTCGGTCACGGGCTTCAGCCCTGATGCGTTGAAAGGTGACCCAGTACGCGAATCGCTGGTGAGGAATCGGAGGAACCGAAGGGAGCTTTAGAAGCCAGCATGAAAACACAATATTTAGCTGGATACACAGGAGTTCGGGTCGCACGCTCCGCCCATTGCGTCAGCACTCCGATTTAGACGTTATGGCCGATAACAAGGAGCAGATATAGAAATATTTCGGTTGTTCGAACTTTGCCGGTGCTAAAAAAGTATTTTTTTGTATAGTCATATTTGACTCGTTCTTCTAAACAAAACAATAACAAAACACCTTTCGTAGTCCAGGCCATTTACAAGGAAAACACCTCTGTTAGGAATAAAGCAGATACGATTCTGAGACACCATGTTTTTACGAAAAGCACCTGGATTTCGAGAGCCACGTCTGCATAATGACGTTTAAAAAATGTTCATCGATGACTTTCCAACCATGCCGCCACAAGCCCAGAGGATGTGCCAGGACTGGTGTTGATGAGGCGGACAGCTTCCCGATCCTTGACGCCCACACAGCGAGCTGATCACGACCGGAGGTGATCCGTGCGTGCCAGGGGAAGTCTGGATAGCGTATCCCTATGCTGGCCCTTAAGATGTTGATTCAGAGGGATCTGTTCACGCTCACATCGGCATGGTGTCCAGCCATGGCCTGGGCTATGTGCCCGTGGCCTACTCACGTCCAGATAGGCACAGCGCCCGTCCGTGATGTCCATGTGACCCTTGACCTACCCACGTCCACAGAAGTGTCATGTTCACCCATACCCTTGACTATGTAACCATTGGTCTACCCGCGTCCAATCAGCGAAGTGTTCAGCCATGACCCAGTCTATGTGACCCTTGGTCTACACACGTTCACATCGGCGAAGTATTCAGCCATGACCTTGTCTATGTGACCCTTGTTCTGCCCAAGTTCACATCAGCAGTGAACCTTGACTTCGTCCATGTGATTCGTCGACAAGGTCAAGGTGACTCAGTCCACAATGTGACCCAGCAGTGGACCCATGACCTTGTCTAAGTGGCCCTTGACCCACTCATGTCCACATCAGTGTAACGTTCAGTCATACCATTTGACTATGTAACCCTTGGCCCACTCCAGTCCACATCAGCCAAGTGCTCAGCCATGACACTATGTGATCCTTGGCCTACTCACGTCCGCATCAGCGGTGCCCATGACCTTGACTATATGACCCTTGGCCTACTCACGCCCACACCAACAGTGTCCAGTCATGACCTTGCCAGTGTGACCCTTGGCCTACCCACGTCCACGCCAGCAGTATCCAGCCATGACCTCTTCTATGTGACCCTTGACCTACCCACGTCAACATCAGCAGAGTCCAGCCATGACCCTGGCTATGTGACCGTTGGCCCTCTCACGTCAGTGTGTCATTGGGACTTCAAACGCGTTCAGCTGCCGAGGCTATACGGCGTCGCCTGCCTCTCACCCTGAAAGGAAGGGCGGGCGCCACGGGGCCTTCCCACGTCCACATCAGCGAGGTGTTCAGCCATTACCTTGGCTACGTGGCCCTTGGCCCACGTTTGGCTATGTGGCCCCTGGCCTACTCACGTCCACATCCGCGTAGTGTCCGGCCATGACGCGCAGTGGCTGGTGGTGGTCGGTGGCCCAGAGTCGGACGGTGCGGTCGTGGCCGCCAGAGCAGAAGTAGTGGCCGTGCGGCGAGAACCGCACATCCCACACGGGGAAGATGTGTCCCTTGTAGCACACCAGACACGTCCAGGTCTGCAGCGACCACAGACGAACTGCGGGACACGGCACGTCGCTCCGGTCACGGCACGGCACGGCACGGCACGGCGCTCGGGTCACGGCACAGCACGGCACAACACGGGCAGAGGCAGGGACTACACGTACCGAGACCGTATCGCTCGCTACAGGGGAGACGACAGAGAGGCAGGCTTGGGAAGGTGTCAGCACCGACTCGCCCCTCAAATCAAAGCCTACAGTCCCCCACGAGTACTTGATCTACCCAACATAACACCTTTTGTAAAGGCCTCACTTAACCCCATCCACCTTGACACCGTGCTATCTATGGCGGCCAAGATAAACAAAGATCAAAAGAAATAGGATTAGAATTAACAAAAAAATTGGTTCTGAAGCCCAGCCGTAATCAGGATGCGGTCGAGCGGTACGCCCACCAGGTGCACCGCTCAATCGTGACTCGATGCTTTCCCACGACCAATGGGCGGTTCTAGCGCTGGGAACAGGCCGCACAGCGTATCCCGCGCCCGTGCATACAGCCTTCAGCACAAAACCTACCGAGGTCCTACCGAGATTTGAACTCGGATCGCTGGATTCAAAGTCCAGAGTGCTAACCATTACACCATAGGACCGGCCGCCGCATCTGACGGCCGACCGTTCCCGACCGCGCGGCTCCGATCGATCCGCCGCCGCGCTGGGGGAGGGGGAGGGGAGGCGCCGCACCTAACGGACGGCCACAGCCGTCGGCGGACAGTGAATGTCACCGCCCACTTCACAGCGGACCGCTCCACACAGCAGTCAGGGCGGGTTTAGTCGACCCGGTGGGCCTGGCCCCACCGCCGCGCCACCTTAAAACCAGCCGGCGCAGCCCGTACGGCGCAACCGCAGTCTCCAAAGCCATCACCCGCCCCGGGACCAAGCCGCTGCCGCCACTCTGTGTGTAATTACAGGGGGAACTCATCGAAATAGACACACGCATCTCACTCGCATCGTAACGCACACACTCCTGCCACTTCACAGGAGTCGGAGAAGCTCCCACCACACAG